TGTCTCGTCCCCGTCCTTGGGGTGACCTGCCAGCCGTCTGGTCTCTGGGGTTCATTGTTCCCAACGTCGCCTGACAACTCTGACACCGGTTGATGGATCCGAGTCGCCCAGGGTTGTAAAATCACCATGGTCATACACCTCGAAACCCTATCTTGTTGTCGTCGGGCACCATTTTCGCAGCAATGCTGGATTTCCAATGACGGTGCCATACTTGCTGCGGTGGTCTGAACACTCTCTTTGGCCAGCTGGTACTTCGATAGAGGAAGGGTTTTGCCAAGCTGACCCTTCCTGATGTCCTCTGTTCTGGGCTCACTCACCGCAGAAGTCTCCGAAATGTACGGGGAACCGAGTAGGCAGGTATGCCAGCACTTACTTCTAGGCAACCCCCCTAAATCGGGTTGTAAAACCAGCATCGCGGCCAGAACCACCTCCCTCTACTGGCCGGTCCAGATAATACCCTGCAAACCAATACTACCGGCCTACTTACGGTAAATCACAAAGCCCCTGCTGCAGGACAACGCAGCGCCTCTGTCTCACCGTGTTGGCTTCGATAGCGACCAGGTTCTTCATATCTTCCAGCGTAGATATCGTCTTGGGATGCGGACACCACCACGCAACATGGCTGATGATTGAGCCCGCCCATCACTACGATCGGTATTTTCGCGAATAGAGGCGATTTACGGCCCGAAGATGACACGATCTTCCTTCGAGTTTCAGATTTGACGGCGAAAGCAACGGTTGGCAGGTGTCCTGCGAGACCGTCCTGTGATTCTGCACCTAGATGGCTCCATCCACCAAGCCATGGAACCATAGCGGTGACGGGATAGGACGGCATTATGCGCTTCTCCATTCCCAGAGAGAGATGCGTGGACTCCGCAAAAAATCCTTCGTCACATGGGGACAGCAAGTTCGGCGCGACTGGATGAGGCAAAAATAGCCATCGAGATAGTCTCGATCTACTTGAATTCCATCGACCTCGCTCGTAGGGGGCGGGCTGGATGGATATGGCGTCCGTAGAAGTGAGTATTCTGCGAATGTGAACAGCGCTTTGTGCCTCGTGGTGGTGCCTCGCGTTGGATGAAGATATGGGCGAACTGCAACCGGACGAGGCTCTTCCCCCACCAGGCAGTAACTCAGCTACGATGTCATGAGAAGATCACATGTGTCTACGTAGATCTGTCTGATGAATGATTCTGCTTTTACTCGCAACCAGAGATCGCCAATTGGTCCAGACCTGGCGCGGCGGATGTTAAGTCTTGGCTTGCTTTCCTCATCTAAGGTAGCTTCCAATGCCATGATGATGCATGTGACCAGCTTCTCGGTTTACTGTATGAGGCCGAAGGCAACCAGGGAGGGACAAGTGTACATCTATAAAAATAGAGATGGAAAGGGAGAGAGCCATCTGCAATCGTACCTCTGAATTCGTAGATCTTCGTGGGGGTTCATGCGAGTTCCATGATCATGATGTTGACGATGATGGTTCTTTTGACCGAGCAAAAGTGCGTCCTCGTCCACCGGCCTTTTGCTCGCCGGGCCGGCATGAATTGGTTCATCGATCTTTCAAAAGTCCCTGACCTCGTCGCGCCCTGCCCGAGAAAAGTGCATGGTGAGTCCAGGTCAGCGACTCTCACGCGGCTTCACTGCGGGCAGACCAGACCGTCCCGTCTTGGCACGATTCACCAACGTCTGACGGTCCATTGATACCTTCCCATTGTATACCTATAGAGAAACTTGGGTATAGAAGATGCTTGCCTGCTGCCTAAGGCCTGTGGAGGGGAGGTGAAGTTTTCATTTTCCCTTGTTAGAAAAACAGAAGCAAAGCCTTGATGAACCAACTCATGCCTACATGTACCCAGGGAGCGGATTCCAACTCTTGCCATTGTAGGCAAGGGACTTATGGCTGAGCGCCCGGCAAGGCACGAGAGCCAAGAGACGGAAACCCTAAGAGATGTTCCTATTTTCTTGGCAAAAACAACCTGACTTAGTAGTTGGATCCCTCAAAGAATCCCATTCACCAAATTAATGCAACTCAAACCAAATCAAAGTTCACTGCGAGTTTTGCTACCCGTCTCCCCGTCCGGCTGTCAACTCTCTGCATGAAACGGGGCTGCCGCACTTCTGCTAGGCCCTTCTCCCATGCAATGCAAGCCAAGGTAAGGCAGGGCAAGCAAGCCAAGACAAGGCCAGGCCAGACCGCAGAACCACCACAAGGGCCGGCTGGACTGCGATATAGACGGCTCCGAGATACTACGTAGTATGGGCAAATCCTTAAACCTGCCTGGATGCTTACCTAAATCGAGTCTGAGCATCTACCTATCTACGGATACTCCTCTGTGCTTGCTTGCTTTCCTCCCTGTCAACCTCTTCCCCCCCGCCGTCTAATCACAAATCAAATGCCGTGCCGATCCCTTCAAATCCCTTCCCCCAGCAAAGGCAAAAGTCCAAACAAGCAGCCGCCCCGGAAGGGCGATCCTCCTTTCCCTTCTTTCCTGGCCTCACTCCTCTCCCCTGCCGGCGCAAGAGTCAGACACAAAGCCGCCCAGCTAAGCTTCTAGCTGGGCGCGCGAGGAACCAGAACAAGCAAAAGAAGACCATTTAGTCTAATTGCCCGGACGCCAGCCCCAGGCTTCGCGGATCAATCGGCACCCATCGTCTCTCTTCTACTCAATATCGCATAGCGGCATGGTTCAGCCACCCTTGGAGCAATTTATCAGATGGACAGTCTCAGCACGCACGCACAGCACAGCACACACACCCCACCCTACACTTACACACACACGCCTCCCCTTTCCCGCCGCCAGGTGAGCCAAAAGCTTGTTGCAGAGGATCTTTGTGTCCGCCAGTTCGCCAACCCCGTCATTCAATATTTAGACTTCCAAGACCGCCTTCCGGGGTGGCCTGATGGCGGCCGTATGCAGGTAGCTGCCTGTGATGTGTGTGTGCTCCCAATTGCGGTGTTTTCGCTGGGGGTTTCCTTCGTGGTGCCCTTCGACTCAATGCTACTTGCTGCCCTTCATCAGAACGGAAGGTGGTAACCAGCCACTTTTTTCACCTTTGACAACTCTCACTCGCTCGCTCGTCCGACTTGCTCGCTGCTCTACTCATGCGCATTGTCCCTCCCACACCGACATGACACACTCGCCCGTCTCATCTCATCTCGTCCTGTTTCGCGCGCACAATCCAAGCCCGCCGCCAGCATCCTCCTCTTCCCGTCCAGATACTCCCACAACCCGCCCCCGTCCTCTCCTGAGAGCCCCAGGCCGGCTATCTATCTGCTAGCCAGGGCCGTGCCTTGGGTGCCTCCCCTTGCAAGCACGGCATTCCCATTCAACCCCTCCCCTCCCCCAATATCATCATCACCATCCATCCGTCCCCTTGTCGCCGACTCCGGACCCCTTCGCCTGTCTTATCCTTAAGCTCAACCACCACCCGGTAAGTCCAACCGAGAGAGCCAACGAAAGGGGATACCACTTTCTCCCCCAAGTGCCAATCACACCTCACTCCGAGGAAGGGGGCCATCATTGCCTGTCCGAGCGCGGAAATAAAACACCCTCTAACCAAGGTGGTGGGCTCTCCTTTCGTCCCACCCAACTGCCGCACCCCAAGCACGCGATCATCTATCTATCTCCATCCTCCCCCCCCCTTCCCATGATACAGAAATTCCAAAAGCGACGCAATCACACGCGGCCCCCCTCGGGGGAAAACAAAAAAACCTGCCCTGACCTTTCGGCCAACCTGGACAAACTCCACCTGGGTGACGCGGAGCGCCGACGTGCCAGCTTCGGCGTTGCCGCCCTACCCTTTGATATAATGGCACCTTGGTCTTATTATCCAGCTCCGTTAGCCGTGTAAAAGCTACCTTGATGGAGAGATGACTAGCTTTGACACCGTAGCATTCTGATTCCCGCGTCGTTCTTCCCTGAACCTGGACGGTGACGCTTCATCGCAGGTTTGGCTGCGACCAATGGAGGAGCAAGTTGATATCAGGCAGATATAAGACGGGCAGACTAATGGAGATTGCTTCGGAACGCAGTAGATGGTTCCGAAGTTCCAAAGAACGCAACATGGTTGCAGATGAGGTGGAAACACACGTAGACTGGGCAGACGTAAGAGTAAGAGTAGCAGTAGCAGTAAGATCTCACGTTGGTAAAAACCGCCGTTGAGATGGGTGGGTTATGATGATCATCAGAGTTGCAGGCAAGCAGGCAGGCAGGTTCAGAACTGTGTCAACGACTCATATTACAGATACAAACAAAGCTTCTAGTCTGGCCCTCCTCGCTGACAATCGCCAAACCCTCGTTCGGTTCCGACTCGTCACCGAGTCCTCTCGCCGCTCCCAGCATTTCCTTTCTTCCCTTTCCCTGATATTCCTCCTCCCCCTCACGCTCCTCCCATTTCCCAATGCCGTTTTCCCCAAGACCTCCTGCGAACAGAAGATACACTTTTGATTATCCTTCCCCTCCCTATGCAATCGCTCCTTTTCTTCACCCAGGTGAGGCTCAATTGCCAGGCAAGTAAGTAGTAATGCTTCAGTGCAAAGATTGACCTCACAACAACATATCCGATGATTTTTTTTCCCTCGGCCGCGCCAAAAAGAAAAACAAACCGGCCGGCTCAAAAAAGATCGTTCCGCCGAACCAAGGGGAAAATAAATGCCAATGATGCGCCAGATGCAATGATAAAAAGAAGAAGAAAATACATGAAGCGAAAAATTAAGGCAATGCGCCACACGCTCCCTGCCAAACTCCATATATCCCTGGCACCTGTCCCATCCGCCCAACCTTCCCATACATACAGATACTGCAGATTCAACACCTGCAAAGTCCTTTTCCTGCTAAATTAACCTATACCCAAACAAAGTAGGTATTTGATGTTTCTTGTCTCCTGGCTGATAGTTGCTCATAATTGTTGCAAAATATGTCAGCAATGCTGGGCACTCTGGAGTTATGTAGTGCCCAGCAGGTTCTTGAAGAATCGTTGTCCCACCCTCGACGGTCAAGATGTCTGAGGGCTATCGGGCTATCTTCACCTCGCCCCAGGGCCACGGTATACCATGGCTGTTATGTTTGCTCATCTGTTTAGGCGTTGGTAGCCTGGGCACCACCGCGGCCGCGTGGGGCTCCGCGTCCTCTGTTCTGTCCAGAGAAGTTGCCCCTGTTGCCGCCCTGGCCGCCGTTGCGGTTGCCGTCGAAACCACCACGGCCACGCTGAGAGCCGCCGCGTCCGCCGCTGAAGTTGTTGCCGTAGGTGTTGGCCTTGGGGCGGCGCTGCTCAACGATGATTTGTTCTCCGTTGACACTGTGGGGGCTGGCGCCGAGAGCGGCCTGGAGACCCTCAGCGGTCTTGTACTCGACAAAGGCGCAGTTCTGTAAGCTTGTTAGTATTTCCGGGTTGTGAATTATGACAGACTTGTTTCAACATACCTTCTGGCGGTTGATGTCAAAGTAGGCGAGCTCGCCGTAGGCCTCAAGAGCCTTCTTAAGCTCACCGTCCTGGACCTTGTCGGTCACGTACTTGACATAGCCGAGGGTGCCCTCCTTATCAGCAGGAGCGGCAGAGATGGATTGAGGTCGGTTCTGGCGCTTGGAATCGGAGCCAGCTGTCTGCCAACCGGCGGCATCCTTTGGCTGGGCCTCGGCAACAGGGGCAGCAGCAGGAGCAGCAGCAGGAGCAACAGGGGCAGCAGGAGCAGCAGGCTGGGCGGCAACGGCAGCGGCAGCGGCAGCGGGCGCAGCGGCGGGAGCAGGAGCACGGCTCTGGCTCTGGGCAGGAGGAGTGGCGGTCTTGGGGAGAGGGACCACAGGTCGAGGTCCGGCAGCGGCAGCGGCACGGCTGGCCCAGGTCATGGGCTTAGGGGGACCAGTGGGCTCAGGAGCGGCAGCCTCAGGCTGAGCAATCTCCTTGGCGGCGGGGGAAGGGGTGGGATCTTGAGGCTTCTCGGCAGCCTTAGCATCCTCCTCAGCGAGATCCTTGGCGGTGGTCTCGGGATCAGGCTTGGCGGCCTCGGCCTTGGTGGCGGGCTTCTCCGCCTCGACCTTCTCCTCGGCAACCGGGGCGGCTTCCTCAGATGAGGCCTCCTCAAGCTTCTGCTCAACGGCCTTGACGTCAAGCGCTGGGCTGGGCTCCTCTGAGGCAGCCTCCACCGGCTTCTCAGGTTCGGCGGCAGGCTCGGCCTCGGCTGCAGCCTCCTCGGCCTCCTCAGTGTTGGCCTCGGCCGGCTCCTGAGCCTCTTGGTCCTCGTCATCGATGTATCGAAGGATGTCGTTAAGAACGAAGTATCCGGTAGGCTGCTGAGCGAGAACGAATGTCTGGACGAATTTCTTGGGCTCGCCAGCCTTGTTGGAAACCTCACCGATCACCTGAATAACAATGCCGTCGAAAGATGCTTGAGAGTCGACATTGGAAACGCGGACCTTGGTGTCCTGGAAGTCGAGCTTCTTGATGCGCTCCTGGATAGCCTGCGGGTGCCTTGTTAGCCACCACTGCTTCGGGGGCAGCTATTGAAGGAAGGCTCATGAACAACTTACCTGGCGTCCCACCGAGACATCGGCGAGCTGGGCCTCGACTCCAGCGACGAACTGGGAGCGTTTGTGATAGAAGAGCTACGGGGAACATGTTAGTCTAGAAGCTCTCCAGGCGTCCCGAAATAATCTCGCGGCATATAAACTCACGTGGAGCCTCTCGGGCGTCTTGCTGAGAGTGGTGTAGTACTGCTCGATGAAGATCCATCCGATCTGGTCCTTGGACAGGTTGTTGTTCGAGCCCGTAGTGGTCACAACATCAGCAGGAGCGCTGTTGTCGGCCGGGACCTTGTACTGCTCCTGGTGTGCAAAGCTTCCGTTCGTAGCCATGGCGGCGGTGTTATGTGCGAAGTGGATTCGTGTGCGGAAAAAGGTGTGGGGATGAAATTACAGCAGGCTATTGCGTGGGCGCGTCGGACCTGCTAGTGCCTGGAATCGAAAATGTAGGTGCGAATTATGCAAACAAAGAAAAGAATGCGAGATGCAATCAAGAAGCGTTCGCTTTGAGGGAGGGTCGGAAAGGTCGAGGACTGTGCCGTATTCCCAGAATCGCCGTGGGGAGGAGGATGACGATATAGCACCGGAGGTGGTATGGCCAACGCAAATGATTCGGGGAGGGTCGAAGGGAAGGAAAGAAACGGAATGACGCGTGGAGGGTCTGCGTCGCGAGCGGGAGTATGAAAGAAGAACTCGGATGGGAATCACGAGGAGATTCGGGTTGGAGCAGAGGAGGGGATGTTAAGTGTCCTTGAGGAGTCACGTCGTGGAGATTGGAGGTTTTCGGGAGGAGGAAAAAATTACGTCCTTTATTAAGCCTAACCGTCCAGGCCTCACACTCTGGCTGAGGGGTGGTCCGTGCGTCCCGCGACGTCAACCCCAAACAGGGACAAAGATGTTTGGGCAAACACACATGCCATGCACACACACTGCGATGAACACCGTGAGAGCAAGGAGCTGGGCTTTTGGTCTCTCTCCACAAATGCAAACGTACACGCACGTCCAGCTACTATGTAATTGACCCCTGATGGGGATGATGCAGGGAGCCTCTGGCTCTGGTTCTAGAGGGATCTACGGCCTGTATCCCCGGCGTCAGTTGTCTGATTCCGGCAACCAACCACGGCACACACATTGGAAGGGTCTCGTTTGCCCTAAACTCCCTTCCCCTCAACCCCCACGAGAACATTGGCATGGTCTGCTCTGGTACGGTACTGCAGGGAGACAGATAATGGCTCAAGTTAGATTAATTGTACGTATATCTCCGATACGAGATGTGTCGCATGAGCAAAAAAGAAAACTGGAACGAAAAAAGCAAGCCCATTAGAATGAAAATGAGACATTGCTTCGGAGCGGGCTGAGGTAGGCAACCATAAGACCCGAAGCCACATGGCTGCTACAAATCCCATCCCACATCGATGCCAAAATTCTACCCCACTGAGAGCTCGGTGAGCGGCCTACCAGGAAGGTGGGGCTGAAAGACACCGCCCGCCCAAAAAAAAATCCTCGAAATTTTCCAAGCTTATCGGTCTCTTATCTCACCCTGCAGACCAAAAAATCAACACCAAGATACCCATCTCGATTTTCCTCCCATATCGACATTAAATTCTACAACAGAGTGTAGAATTCCAAACAAGACGCCTACCAGTCGCCAAGATGCCCAAGTCAAAGCGCTCCAAGGTCGTGCACATGACCCAGGTCTCCAAGAAGACCCGCGACCAGAAGGACAAGCTTTTCCAGAACATCCGCGACGCCGTTCCCGAGTACCAGCACGTCTTCGTATTCGACGTCGACAACATGCGCAACAACCATCTCAAGGATGTGCGACGTGAATTGTCCGACTGCAGGTGCGGGGAATCCCTCCCGGGAAGCTCAAAAGCAAAGGGTTGACCAATTGGCTAACACATGTATACCAGAATCTTCTTCGGCAAGACCAAGCTCATGGCCAAGGCCCTCGGCCAGAACGCAGCCGACGCCCTTGCGCCCGGCACCGAAGACCTGTCCAAGTACCTGACCGGCAGCGTCGGCCTCATCCTCACGAACCGCCCAGCCGAGGAGATCCTGAACTACTTCTCCACATTCTCCCCCGTCGACTTTGCCCGCGCAGGCGTCCCCGCCACCAGAGACTTCACCATCCCCGCCGGTGTCGTCTATGCCACCGCCGGCGAGGTGCCGGTAGAGTACGACGTCCCCTTAGAGCACTCTATCGAGCCCGAGCTGCGAAGGCTAGGCGTCCCCACCAAGATGGTCAAGGGTAAGATCGTGCTGGGCGAGGAGAGCGGCGAGGGCGAGGGATACAGGATCTGCAAGGAGGGCGATGTCCTCGACTCGAGGCAAACCAGGCTGCTCAAGCTGTTTGGTGCCTGCTTGAGTGAATTCAAGGTCAACGTGCTAGCGTAAGTGAAGGCAATCTTGCCTGCCAATCTGTTGCGGTATACTGACATGGTCTTGTTTAGATACTGGAGTTCGGCTACTGGGGAGGTGACTGAAGTCAACCCCAGCGCAATGGAGGAATAAGGACCAAGACGTGTTTTTCAGTTTAAGGGTACACTATTTTTCATGACTTATAACAGCGCGAAAATCGGGAATGGCGTTGACGGGGAACAAAAGTACTTGGGACGCAGAAGAGCATTTATCACCTCGTAGATCTAGAGGCTTGAAATGGCACTGTCTCTCCCTCACAAAACCAGACAACATAAAAAGTCTCACAAACGCATAAAAGGAGAAAGAAACTCAATTGACCTTCGAAGGGCAGCCCATGTAGTCACGGTTCATTTCCATGGCCGGGGCTGCGGGAGAGATACCTAGCAAGTAAAGCAGACGAACAAACCGCAGCATTCGCGCCCTTAGCTTACCATAAGGGCTGCGGAACCTGAAGAACCAAAGACGGTGTTGGTCCCTCGGTCCAAATCGTAGTAATATACACAAAGACTAGAAAATTACCTTCCGTTCCGGTTCCGTTACAGATGTGTTTGTTAAAATGGATCTCGTCTGTAGCATGAGCGTCAAACAGAAGAAGTAGTGGCAAACCATCTATCAAAACGCAAGCGATTTGATGGAGAAGGGAGAGAAGGGAGGAATCGAGATGATGCTGCCGAAAATGCAGCTCGTGTGATCGCTTTTCAACCTGGTGCTTGAGTCGGGGTGCAGTCTTCCAGATAGTTCGACTTCTGATCCATTGGTAGTCGCAGCTTGCACGACTTTTTGATTACCCTTTTGTTGGGGGGAAGAAGGGACACTGGACGACAAAAGAAGGGGTACTGGAGACCCAAGAACCCACCGGATATTCAGATGATGATTCTCAGTACCTCCGCAATTTGCGAGGGTCCTCATAGCCACCTCCATCGTATCCGCGCTTTCGGTTATCCTCTTCACGGGGTCGGTCGTAGTCCCGGTCGCGATACCCACCCTCTCGTCGGCCGATAGGTTCCATGTTGCTGCCGGTCCTACGGCCGCCGTCACGATCACGATGTCGGCCTCCGTCTCGTCCGTCGCGGCCTCCATCTCGACCACCATCTCGGCCATCTCGGCCGCCGTCTCGTCCACCATCTCTGGGTCTGTCGTCATATGAGCGTCCACCTCGGGATTCAAACCCACCAGAGAAATTGCGGTCGCCGCCATTTCTTCTATCAAATCCGCCAGGTCCTGAGGGAGCGCCGCTGGGGGCGCCGAAGCCATTTCGATCGCCGCCACGGGGTCCGGAGTCGCCGCCTCTGAATCCTCCTCCACGTCCTCCAAAGCCACCTCGGAAACCACCGCGGCTGCGACCACCGTCGAAGCCCTTGAAACCGCCACGATACCCACCGCCAAACCCACCAGGTCCCATAAGGCGAGATGGCATAGCCTTGGTATAGCCACGGCCTCCAAGGCCACCGCCTAGTCGGCGAGGCTTCCAGCCACGCACAGTTCGCCCTCGCTCTACATCGACCTTGATGTGCCGGCCTTTGATTCGAATACCATCGCAAGAATCAATAGCAGCTATCCACGGTTGCGCCAAGTAGGCGCGTGTCAGTAAGTCTTACCATTATGAAACCCGGTACATTTGGCTTGGGAGAAGAGTGAAAGGGAATCATCTACAACGGAGACGGGCAAGCTTGAGGGCCCTATTGTGTCTCACAACCGTACAAATCCAGGAGAGGGCAAGCATGAGGGCCACAGCTCCAAAAATCGTGCACGCTTTGTACTTGATTTTCCTTTCACCAACAGGCAGAAAGGACGCGACAAAACAAAATCAAAGGTTGGTTGGGGGGGAAATTACCTCTCATGTCCTTTTCTCTTTCGAAAACAACAAACGCGTATCCTCGGTGCGGCTTCTTCTTCTTATTTGGCTTTTCGTGGGTGTGGCTATCTTTGACGATACGAATCTATTGAATGTTAGTAAAAGCTTTCCAATGAAGGGTCGATTCTTAGCTCATACGCGCTCGATGGGACCGAACCGCCCGAATTCGCGTTCCAAGTCTCGCTCATCGGCTTCGTAGCTCAAGCGGGCGACAATCATAGTTTTAAAGGCATCGCCGCGGATATTTGGGTCCTCATTAGGTTTGTCTGTAGATGGC